ATATATATATATATATATATATATATATATATATATATATATATATATATATATATATATATATATATATATATATATATATATATATATATATATATATATATATATATATATTTATATATAATCACTTTTAAACCATATTTACAGGTGATAAAATATGAATAAAAGGATGATATAAAAATTGCACATGCAATTACAGTATGTATGATATATGTAATGATGTAATGTGTGTATTTATATAATGCATTTGTCATGTATGGCCATACACCCAAAGCGCTTCACAATCATAAGGGGGGTTTCTCCACACCACCACCAGTGTGCAGCATCCACTAGGATGATGCGACGGCAGCCACAGGACGACAGTGCCAGTGCACTCACCACACACCAGTTATTGGTGGAGAGACAGTGATAGAGCCAATTCAGTGGATGTGGATGATTGGGAGGCCATGATCGGTAATGGCCAATGGAGGGAATTTGGCCAGGGCACCGGGGTTACACCCCTACTCTTTACGAGAAGTGCCATTGGATTTTTTAAATGACCACAGAGAGTCAGGACCTCAGTTAAATGTCTCACTGGAAAGGCGCACACTTACAGTGTAGTGTCTCCTTCACTTTTACTGCTGCATTAGGACTCACACAGACTGCAGGTTGAGCGCCCCCTGCTGGCCTCACTAACAACACTTCCAACTGCAAGCTAGTTTTCTCATGTGGTCTCCCATCCAGGTACTGACCAGGCTCAGCCCTGCTTAGCTTCAGTGAGTAACTGGTCTTGGGCTGCAGGGTGATATGGCTGTGGCTGAATTTGAGTATTTGAATATGAATTTGTCAACCAACAAATAGTAGCAGATTGCAGAATTGGCATATAATTAACTGCTGCATCAAATGAAATTGAGTCTACCTGTTCTTTGTATTCTTCTGATTTGCCCTCATTGTGTTTTTCAGAGTTCAGAATTTCATGAATTCCTCTTGACCAAACTGATCAATGCTGAATATTCCTGTTATAAAGCAGAGAAGTTTGCCAAGCTTGAGGTAAGAAGCCCATAGATGTGTGTGTGTGTGTTGTGTGTATAGGAGCTTCAGCATGTGTGCTGCATTCAGATGCTTTATTGTTGTTCAGGAAAGAACGCGTTCGGCTCTGCTGGAGACTTTATATGAGGAGCTGCATATGAACAGCCAGTCCATGATGGGTTTAGGTGGAGACGACGACAAGCTGGAGAATGGAGGAGGAGGAGGAGGATTCTTCGAGTCTTTCAAGGTAGAGTACACTTATAATGAGATGGCATTTGCTAACGTGAATTAAAAAGAGTGTGTGTAGAATTCAGAAACCTGTTATTAGTGATTATCACCAGCGGACATTAAGGGAATTACAGCCTGCAAACTATTGCTCATGTCTGTAACATAAAAGAGTCTGGATATACTCTCAGTGAAGTTTCTTTTTTGTTCTTTGATTAGACGTAAAAAGAAGTGGGAAATACTTTGAGTATACACTGATATACAGCTAAATCACTAGAGAAAAAAGGATTAAAAGATTAAGAGGGAATTTTAATTCTTAGTTTCACTAAACATATGATTTATAGTTATTTTATAGTATTTTATTTAACTACTAATGATAATTTCTTTCCAAATTTAACGACAACATTGTGATTTTGAGCTTTTTATGATTTGAGCATTTTCACTAAATTATGTGTTTGATTAACTGATTATTTTTTTTATTACTAAGAAAAAATAATATATATATATATATATATATATATATATATATATATATATATATATATATATATATATATATATATATATATATATATATATATATATATATATATATATATATATATATATATATACACATATATATATATATACAAA